GATTGGATTTATACCCTGCCCTTCACTACCCAAAGGAGTCTCAGAGCGGCTTACAATCCCTTTCCCTTCCCCTCCCCACAACAGACACCCTGTGAGGTAAAAGGAGAAGAAGAAAAGATTGGATTTATACCCTGCCCTTCACTACCCAAAGGAGAGCGGCTTACAATCCCTTTCCCTTCCCCTCCCCACAACAGACACCCTGTGAGGTAGGCGTGGCTGAGAGAGCTCTGACAGAAACTGCTGCTGAGACAACAGCTCTGAAAGAACTTGTGACTGACCTAAGGTCACACCAGCAGCTGCATATGGAGGAGTGGGGAAATCAAACCCGGTTCTCCAGATTAGACTCCGCACTCGTAACCACTACACCAAACTGGCAGGCAATGGCAGGCCATCTCTGTTCATCTCTTGCCCTGACCAGGATGGTCCAGAGTATCCTGATCTCATCGGCTCTCGGAAGCTAAGGAAGGTGGGTCCTGGTTAGGACTTGGATGGGATAAATCAGGTAGAGAAAGAAGTACTTTTCTCCCTTTCTCGCAATACAAGGACTCGTGGACACTCAGTGAAATTGCTGAGCGGTCAGGTTAGAACGGACAAAAGGAAGTCCTTCTTCACCCAAAGAGTGATTAACATGTGGGATTCACTGCCACAGGAGGTGGTGGCGGCTACAAGCATGGACGGCTTCAAGAGGGAATTGGATCAGCATATGGAGCAGAGGTCCATCAGTGGCTATTAGCCACAAGGTCCAGATAGAAACTCTCGGTCTTGTCACGCTCGGTATTCGTGGTGCTGGCGGGGGGGGGGGCAACAGTGGGAGGGCTTCTAGTGTCCTGGCCCCACTGCTGGACCTCCTGAGGGTACCTGGTACTTTTGGCCACTGTATGACAGAGTGTTGGACTGGATGGGCCAGTGGCCTGATCCAACACTGGCTTCTCTTATGTTCTTATATGGAGCTGAGGTCCATCAGTGGCTCTTACCCACAAGGTATAGATAGGGACTCTGGGGCAAGTGATGCTCTGTATTCTTGGTGCTTGCGGGGGGCAACAGTAGGAGGGCTTCTAGTGTCCTGGCCCCACTGCTGGACCTCCTGATGGCAACTCGTCTTTTTGGCCACCGTGTGATGGAGTGTTGGACTGGATGGGCCATTGGCCTGATCCAACCTTGGCTTCTCTTATGTTCTTACGTTCCTATGAGACCACCAAAAAAGTCCAGGGTCACGACACAGAGACAGGCAATGGCAAACCATCTCTGTTCATCTGCTCTGACACAGTTGGTCCAGGCTAGCCCAGTCTAATCAGATCTTGGAAGCTAAGCAGGGTCAGCCCGGGTTAGTTCTTGGATGGGAGACCCCCAAGGAAGCCCAGGGTCATTACCCAGAGGCAGGCAATGGAAATCCGCCTCTGCTCATCTCTCGAAAACCCTGCACAGTTGCCATAAATCAGCTTTGACTCGGCACTTTCCGCAACTACCAGGGAAAAGCAGACATACCGTCATGTTCAAGAAGGGTGGGGCTCTGTCCAGTTTCCATGAGGTTCGTTTTTACTCAGAAAGTGGGGGGTTTTGAGGGGAGGGGAGTGGAGACTTTAAAACACTGCCGTCGCCGTTTGCCAAACCTGCAACTCATTACTGGGTAGTCTTAGATTTGGTTTTTTTGATTTTCGCCCTTCCTCCTCACAACGGATGCTTCTTGGATGTGAAACTGGGAACACAACGCTTGTCCTGTACACTGCCCAATATTGGAGGCAGTTCTGGAATGGGTAAGGGCAAACAAAATGGAGCCAGTTTGGTGTAGTGGTTAGGAGGGCGGATTCTTATCTGGGAGAACCGGTTTTGATTTCCCCACTCCTCCACTTGCAGCTGCTGGTGTGACCTTGGGTCAGTCACATGTTCTCTCAGAGCTGTTTTGGAAAGAGTAGTTCTTGGGAGAGCTCTCTCAGCCCCGCCTACCTCCCAGGGTGTCTGTTGTAGGGAGGGGGAAGGGGATTGTAAGCCGCTCTGAGACTCCTTCAGGTAGTGAAGGGCAGGGTATAAATCCAGTTTCTTCTTCCTCCTCCTCCTCCTCTTCCTCTTCTTCTGGGTCAGGGTCTGACTCAGGACATGGGTTTAGAACATGAGAACATAAGAGAAGCCAATGTTTAATCATGCCAATGGTCCATCCAGTTCAACACTCTGTGTCACACAGTGGTCAAAAATACCAGGTGCCATCAGGAGGTCCAGCAGTGGGGCCAGGATACCAGAAGCCCTCCCACTGTTGCCCACCCTCCCCCAAGCACCAAGAATACAGGGCATCCCTTGCCCCAGCCTGAGAGTTCCGATCTATACCTTGTGGCTCATAGCCACTGATGGACCTCTGCTCCATATGCTTATCCAATTCCCTCTTGAAGCCCTCCCTGCTTGTAGCCGCTGCCACCTCCAGTGGCAGTGAATTCCACGTGTGAATCCCCTGTTCTAGATGGGATTGCACTCCCACTAAAGGAGCAGGTTCATAGTTTGGGGGTACTCCCAGACTCAGTCCTCCTGTTGGAGAAACAGATGGCCACAGTGGTGGCCGTTCCAGGCAGGGAGGGAGTTCTTGCCACTGTGGTGCATACTCTGGTAACATCTGGGTTAGATTACTGCAATCTGTTCTACGTGGGCCTGCCCTTGAAGACTGTCTGGAAGTGACAGTTGGTACAGAATGCTGCAGCCAAAGTGTTGGCTGGAGTGGGTTGTAGGGACCATATCAGCGCAGTCTTGTTTGATCGGCGCTAGCTTCCAGTCGGCTTCCAGGCTCCATGCAGGATGCCAATATTGACCTTAAGAGCCCTGTACAGCCTGGGACCTACATAACTTAAAGGCCTCCTCCTTCTAGATGAACCCACCTGTCCACTCCAGTCATCTTTGGAGGCCCTACTTAGATGGGTGTTCAACTCAAGAAATGGCCTTCTTGGTTGTGGCACACCAAAACTTTGGAACTCCCTCCCAGGTAGATTTCATCTATCTCCCTCTATCTGTGTCTTTTGCCAGCAGATGAAGACCTGGATATCCCAGGCTAGCTTCATCCCAACAGATTTCAGAAGCTAAGCAGGGTCACCCTTGGCTAGCATTTGGAAGGGTGGCCTTCAAGGAATACCAGGGCTGCAACACAGAGGCAGGCAATGGCAAACCACCTCTGAAACATTTCTTGCCTTAGAAACAAGTCTAGCTTGCCACCTAGTGCTGCATCATGTTGAAAGAGCTAGAACTTCTGGCTGCCAGACAACCTTAGGATCTCCTGGCTACACTGCACACAATGCCAGATGATGATGATGATTAGATGAATGAAGGCTCCTCTGGAGGTACAACAATAGGGCATAGAGGCCTTCATAAGAATCTAAGAAGAGCCCTGCTGGATCAGATCAGTGGTCCATCTAGTCCAACATTCTGTCTCACACAGCAGCCAAATGGTTCATCCGGAGATCCAACAACAGGGCACAGAGGCCAAGTTGGCCTTCATAAGAACATCAGAAGAGCCCTGCTGGATCAGACCAGTGGTCCATCTAGTCCAGCATCCCATCTCACACAATGGCCAACCAGTTCCTCTGGAGGTCAAACAACAGGGCATAGAGGCCAAGGGCTTCATAAGAACATCAGAAGAGCCCTCCTGGATCAGACCAGTGGTCCATCTAGTCCAGCATCCTGTTCCACACAGCGTCCAATCAGTTCCTTTGGAGGGCCAACAACAGGGCATAGAGGCCAAGGCCTTCATAAGAACATCAGAGGAGCCTTGCTGGATCAGACCAGTGGTCCATCTAGTCCAGCCTCCTGTTCCACACAGCGTCCAACCAGTTCCTCTGGAGGGCCAACAACAGGGCATAGAGGCCGAGGCCTTCATAAGAACATCAGAAGAGCCCTGCAGGATCAGACCAGGTCCTAGAGGCTGAGGCCTTCCCCTGATGTTGCCTCCTGGCACCGGGATTCAGAGGTTGACTGCCTCTGAATGTGGAGGTTAGGGTTAGGGTTAGTCACCACGGTTAGCAGCCATGGATAGACTTATCCTCTATGAATCTTTCTAGCCCCCTCTTAAAGCTGTCCATGCCTGTGGACTGTACTGCCAGGCTCCATGCAGTTGACAGAGTTTCAGTATTTCGAGAGTTCATAAGAAGAGTAGGTTTTTATACCCCACTTTTCTCTACCCGAAGGAGTCTCAGAGTGGCTTACAATCACCTCCTCTTCTTCTCCCCATAATAGGCACCCCACGAGGTAGGTGGGGCTGAGAGAGCTCTGAGAGAACAGTGACTGGCCCAAGGTCACCCAGCGGGCTGCATGTGAAGGAGGGCACAATCAAACCCGGTTCTCCGGATGAGACTCGGCTACCACTACATCCACACTGGCTCTCAACTTGCCCCAGAAAAACAGGAAGATCCGCTCGACCCTGCGACACCTCCTTCCGACGGTAAGTCTCCGTGCGAGTGTGAATGTGGTACGGAGAGTTGACGAATCCCAGAGCGACAGTCGCCCCGGTGGCTAAAGTTCTGCTGCTGTAACTGAAGAGCGCAAACGTCTCCCACTGGGCCCTCGGAAAGGCTGAGGCTGGCTTCCAAGAACGTTCTTGTGGCTCCAAGGAATCCAAAACATTTCTCCCCCCAGCCCTGCTTTCTATTAATATTGTTGCTATGGTGATGAGCTGAGATCCTGGCTCAGTCCATCCGAGGTGATGAAGGGAACGGTGAGGTATCTCAACAACCGCTGCCGATATTCTTCTAGCATCTGAACGATGCCCCCCCCCCGTGTCACGTACACAATGCACATATGAGTCTTCCCTTCCGCTGGGAACTGTCAGCCTTTCCAAACCTGAGCAAACCATTAAGAAGATCAAAGGAGTCTCAGAGCGGCTGACAATCTCCATTTCTCTTCCCCTCCCCACAACAGACACCCTGTGAGGTAAAAGAAGAGGTTGGATTTATCCCCCGCCCTTCACTACCCGAAGGCGTCTCAGAGCATCTTACAAACTCCTTTCCCTCCCCCTCCCCACAACAGACACCCTGTGAGGTAAAAGAAGAGGTTGGATTTATCCCCCGCCCTTCACTACCCGAAGGCGTCTCAGAGCATCTTACAAACTCCTTTCCCTCCCCCTCCCCACAACAGACACCCTGTGAGGTAAAAGAAGAGGTTGGATTTATCCCCCGCCCTTCACTACCCGAAGGCGTCTCAGAGCATCTTACAAACTCCTTTCCCTCCCCCTCCCCACAACAGACACCCTGTGAGGTAAAAGAAGAGGTTGGATTTATCCCCCGCCCTTCACTACCCGAAGGCGTCTCAGAGCATCTTACAAACTCCTTTCCCTCCCCCTCCCCACAACAGACACCCTGTGAGGTAAAAGAAGAGGTTGGATTTATCCCCCGCCCTTCACTACCCGAAGGCGTCTCAGAGCATCTTACAAACTCCTTTCCCTCCCCCTCCCCACAACAGACACCCTGTGAGGTAGGTGGGGCCGAGAGAGCTCTGACAGAAACTGCTCTTTTTGAAGGACAGCTCTTATCAGAACTATGGCTTGCCCAAGGTCATCCAGCAGGTGCAAGTGGAGGAGTGGGGAATCAAGCCCGGGTCTCCCAGATTAGAGTCCGCGCACTTAACCACTACACCAAACTCCGAGAAGACTCGGAGGGAAAACACTAACAAGCTGGGCTTGACTGAAACACTTAGAAGAGGGTGCAGGATATCGCCCCCCCCGAGGTCTTAGAAGGCCTTGATTCCACTTTCAGTCAGCTAAGAGATAATATGGGCAACCAAAAGGAACTTTGACCATCACGAGTTTGGTGCAGTGGTTAGGAGCGCAGACTCTAATCTGGGAGAACCGGGTTTGATTCCCTGCTCCTCCACATGCAGCTGCTGGGGTGACCTTGGGTCAGTTCAGTCATAACTTCTTTCGGAGCTGTTCTCTTCGGAGCAGTTCTCGAGAGAGCTCTCTCAGCCCTACGTACCTCATGAGGTACCTGTTGTGGGGAGAGGAGGGCAAAGTGTCCTGGCCCCACTGGTGGACCTCCTGATGGCACCTGGTATTTTTGGCCACTGTGTGACACAGAGTGTTGGACTGGATGGGCCACTGGCCTGATCTAACATTGGCTTCTCTTATGTTCTTGTGTTCATAGAAGCCCCAAAGCATAAAAATCAGAAAAAACCCAGAAGCATAAAGTACACAAAAGCCCAGAAGCATAAAATTACATAAAAGCCCACCAGCGTAAGGCCAGAAGTATACAAACACATCTAAGCCCCAAGTATAAAAGCACATAAAAGCCCAGAGCATAAAACACTTGCCGGCCTAAATTAATCTTTACAACAGCCCTCACGCTAGAAGAAGTTTGTTAAAACACTTCAGAAGATAAAGGTTCCCTTGCTCGAAAGCCAGTCGAATCTGACTCTAGGGTTGCGGTGCTCATCTCCGTTTCAAAGCCAAAGAGCCAGCGCTGTCCGAAGACGTTTCCGTGGTCATGTGGCCGGCATGACTAAATACCAAGGCGCACGGAACGCTGTGACCTTCCCACCGAAGTGGTACCTATTTATCTACTTGCAATTTCTTGCTTTCGAACTGCTAGGTTGGCAGGAGTTGGAACTAGAGATGGGAGCTCACTCCATCATGCGGCACCCGGGTCTCGAACTGCTGAACTACTGACCTTCCACAGCCTGCAGTTCAGCGTCTTAACCACTTGAGCCACCACAGCTCCATTCAGCCTGGGTTAAAAAAAAGTGTTTTGGCCTGGCCCCTAAAAGACGGTAGAATTAGTGTTACAGCAGTGCCATGATCTTCCGCTTCCTCTGAAGGGAACTGTCCGTGGTGAGACTGCCCCCAGAACTTCGCCTCGCTCAGAGATGGATTGCACAGGTAACATTATTTATAATGTCAATGTACATAGCATTTCATAGAGAAGCTGTTACCCCCAGTCCCATCAGGGATAGTGAAAAGTAAAAGGTAAAGGTTCCCTTGCTCGAAAGCCAGTCGAATCCGACTCTAGGGTTGCGGTGCTCATCTCCGTTTCCAAGCTGAAGAACCAGCGCTGTTTGAAGACGTTTCCCTGGTCATGTGGCTTTCCGGCATGACTAAACACCAAGGCGCACGGAGCGCTGTTACCTTCCCACCGAAGTGGTACCTATTTATCTACTTGCAATTTCTTGCTTTCGAACTGCTAGGTTGGCAGGAGCTGGAACTAGAGACGGGAGCTCACTCCGTCATGCGGCACACTCGGGTCTCGAACTGCTGAACTACCGACCTTCCACAGCCTGCAGTTCAGCGTCTTAACCACTCGAGCCACCGCAGCTCCATAGTGAAAGGTAGCGAGGCATAGAAAGCTGCCTTATACCACACGGACACCGGAAGCCGCCTTATTCTGAATCAGACCTTTGGTCCATCAGAGTTGGTGTTGTCCACTCACCCTGGCAGCGACTCTCCGGGGTCTCAGGCAGAAGTCTTCCACTTCACAGCCCTATACGGCCGGGGGCCAGCATACCTTCCGGACCACCTCTCCCCATATGAGCCCCGTAGAGCACTGAGGTCTACGGATCAACATCTTTTGGTAGTCCCCGGCCCCAGGGATGTCCGACTTGCCTCAACTCCCATATGAAATCAGGACCCTGTGGGATTTATTACAATTCATGCCGGCCACATGACCGCAGAAATGTCTTTGGATGGCTCTTCGGCTTGGAAATGGAGATGAGCACCGCAACCCTAGAGTCGGATTCGACTGGCTTGCGAGCAAGGGAACCTTTACCTTTTTAGAGGGCCTGTAAGACAGAGCTGTTCCACCAGGCTTTTAGTTGAGGCAGTGGACGTGTGTCCCCCCCCCCCAATTAGCCTCCCATCGATGGCCTGGATTCGAATAGCCACGCACCTGTCCCATCTTAATCGCTGAGACATCTGATCAGATTTTACATAGTGGCTGATTTCGCACTAGAGCTGCCGCGCTGTTGCGCCGTCGCTTGCCCCGGTTCTATGGGTCAATTTCACACCCGAACCTGCACGGCTGATTTTGACCCGCGGCTTCGCCCGATTTCCCCCGCAGTTTCGTGATCCTGTTTTTTGAGAATTAACGAAACTGCGGAGGAAATCGGGCAAAGCCGCGGGTCAAAATCAGTTGCGCGGCTTCGGGTGTGAAATTGACCGATAGAACCGGGGCAAACGGCGGCGCAACAGCAAGGCAGCTCTAGTGCGAAATCAGCCAGTATTTTAGGATTCTGTGCTGTTTTAATCCGATGTTTTAAGTGGTTTTGATGGTATTGTACGTTGTATTCATATAGTTGGAACCTGCCTTGAGCCTGGTTGCGGGGAGGGTGGGATACAAGCCCAATAAATAAATGAATAAATAAATAAATACTGCCTGGGCCTTTCAACTGGAGATGCTGGGGATTGAACCTGGGACCTTCTGCCTGCCAAGCAGATGCTCTCCCACTGAGCCACAGCCCTTCTTTACAGCTCTCCGGGGTCTCAGGCTGAGGTTTTTCTCATCACCTCCTGCCTGGTCCGTTGAACTGGAGATGCCAGGGATCGAACCTGGGACCTTCTGCCTGCCAAGCAGATGCTCTCCCACTGAGCCACAGCCCTTCTTTACAGCTCTCCGGGGTCTCAGGCTGAGGTTTTTCTCATCACCTCCTGCCTGGTCCGTTGAACTGGAGATGCCAGGGATCGAACCTGGGACCTTCTGCCTGCCAAGCAGATGCTCTCCCACTGAGCCACAGCCCTTCTTTACAGCTCTCCGGGGTCTCAGGCTGAGGTTTTTCTCATCACCTCCTGCCTGGTCCGTTGAACTGGAGATGCCAGGGATCGAACCTGGGACCTTCTGCCTGCCAAGCAGATGCTCTCCCACTGAGCCACAGCCCTTCTTTACAGCTCTCCGGGGTCTCAGGCTGAGGTTTTTCTCATCACCTCCTGCCTGGGCCTTTTAACTGGAGATGCCGGGGATTGAACCTGGGACCTTCTTCACGCCAAGCAGAGGCTCTCCCACTGCTCCACCAGCCACTGTCTCCAGAGGAACTGATCTCTTTTGTCTAGAGGTCTGCTGGCATTCCAGGACATCTCCAGGTCCCAAAAGAAGGTTAGCAACCCTATCAAGAGTGGTGACATGCCTCCCAAGTTGCACCAGCCTGCAGGGGACATCAGAACTTGTTTTATACAGAGTCCCACCATCCAGAAGAGGGCAACAGGGATGGTGAGAGGGTTGGAATCCAAGTCTTATGAGGAAAGGCTGAAACGGTTGGGTCTGTTTAGCCTGGGAAAGAGAAGGCTTGGAGGGGACATGATTGCAGCCTTCAAGTATCTGAAGGGCTGCCACGTAGAAGATGGAGCAGGTCTATTCTCTCTTGCTCCGGATTGCAAGACTAGATCCAGGGGTCATTTCCTGCGGGAGCGCACAGGAGCGGAGCTCCGGCAGTAAGGAGCCCAGGGGGCGGGCCCATGCAACAAGCCCCACCCCCTGCTCCCAGCAGCCCTCAGTTGGGCCACGAGGAGCAAGAAGCAGGCAGGTAAGTTGCAGAGCCTCCCCCCCAAGCCCACCTTCAGGTACAGGCTCTCCCTCCTCTGCAAGGGCAGATCTGCGCGTTCCCCCCTCCCCAATAGCTAGCAATCCAAAACAGTCCAGTGGAGCCTGAGCAGTGGGTGTTGCCTTCTGACACACTACCGGTGATGTCAGGGGGTGTGGCACATGCAAATAAGTTATGCTAATAAGTTATGCTAATGAGCTCCTTCACCTCTTTTTCTACGAAATGACCCCTGACTAGATCTAATGGGTGGAAATTACAAGGGAGTCGATACCGGCTAAATATCAGGAGAAACTTCCTGAGAGTGGTTGACCAGTGGAACAGAGTGCCTCGGGAGGTGGTGGATGCTCCTTCGCTGGACGTTTCCAAGCGGAGGCTGGATGACCATCTTTCGGGTATGTCATAGGGCTATCTTTCAGCTATGCTCCTGCAGAGTGCAGGGGGTTGGACTAGAGGACCTGCAAGGCCCCTTCCAACTCTTAACATTCTATGATTCTATCCAGCCCAGTTATCGCCTATGTCCTCTTGCAGCAGCTTTCCAAGATCTTCAGAGGAGATCTTCCAAGAGCCTTGCAACCTGAGATCCTCCTAACCCAAGGCACACAGGCCATGTTGCTGACCTACAGGCCCTCCCCATGGCAAAGGTAGACTTGGAGATGGGATTGGAACGCAGAGAGGGCGTTCGCAAACCCGAAGGGAGCGACTCGCAAGGCACTTGGCTGGTTGTTTTCGTCTAGAAGCCGAAGAGTAAACGGGAAGGGGGAGGGCTGTTTGTTTTGCTTAGGGTTAAATACAGGATCGGGTTGTCCAAATCAGTTCCAGACACAACACACACACACACAGCAAACCATAGCGTGCAACCTCCCACCACTGGTCTCCTGCGCTGCTCAATGCTCCCATTCCAGTCAATGCGAAGTTTCAGATTTCAGTCTGGGGTTCCTTCGCAGACCTCAAGGGTTTTGGAAGGAATCAGGGGGAAGGGGGAAGCGCCGAACCCGCTGCTGGCGTGCTGCATCTTTGGACTGACTGCTGGGGGTAGGGGGGTGGGGAGTCCAAGAGGATGCACAGCTAACCAGCTCCTTGTCAGTCCAGAGGTGATTCACAGCCGTAACCACAAAAGAAACCCCAAGCATAATTCCTTGGAAGCTGCATCTCCCTGGCCTGAAATCAACAAGGATCGCTTCCAAGTAAGCACACTTGGGACGTCCAACCACTGAGCTGGTGTTTTCCTAGAGCGTCATCCGCCTGCGATTCAGGCAAAGGGCGATTCTGCATTGGCTTTTCCCTCCGTTGTTTTACCAAAGGTGCAGCTGAAAACCACATTCATAAACCCCAGGTGCAAAGTCACCCCTGAACGGCCATAAATCAATGAAGAAGGTACCATAAAAGCCAATGATCAAAGAAAGCGGAAGCGGCATGCAGTGAGGCGAGCAGTGTTCCCCCTAACTTGAGTTAGTGTGAGCTAGCTCACAGTTTTTAGCCTCCGGCTCACACATTTTTGTCTTAGCTCAGGAAGGATGGCTCCAGAGCAAACTAATATATGCAGTAGCCAAATCGCTCACTCACAACGTTAACGCCAGTAGCTCACAAAGCAGAATTTTTGCACACGACTCCACAGTTTAGAGGGACCATTGGTGGAGGGTACCATAAAATCTGATGATCAAAGAAAATCAGAGCGGCATGCAATGCAGAGTGTGTCATAAAATCCGATGATCAAAGAAAAAGTGGCATGCAACGCAGAGGATACCATAAAATCTGATGATAGAAGAAAGGGAAAGCGGCATGCAATGCAGAGGGTACCATAAAATCCGAGGATCAAAGAAAGGGAAAGTGACATGCAACGCCGAGGGTACCATAAAATCTGATAATCGAAGCGGCATGCAATGCAGAGGGTACCATAAAATCCGAGGATCAAAGAAAGGGAAAGTGACATGCAACGCCGAGGGTACCATAAAATCTGATAATCGAAGCGGCATGCAATGCAGAGGGTACCATAAAATCCGAGGATCAAAGAAAGGGAAAGTGACATGCAACGCCGAGGGTACCATAAAATCTGATAATCGAAGCGGCATGCAATGCAGAGGGTACCATAAAATCCGAGGATCAAAGAAAGGGAAAGTGACATGCAACGCCGAGGGTACCATAAAATCTGATAATCGAAGCGGCATGCAATGCAGAGGGTACCATAAAATCCGATGATCAAAGAAAGGGAAAGTGGCATGCAACGCAGAGGGTACCATAAAATCTGATAATCAAAGTGGCATGCAATGCAGAGGGTACCATAAAATCCGATGATCAAAGAAAGGGAAAGTGGCATGCAACGCAGAGGGTACCATAATCAAAGAAAATCAAAGCGGCATGCAATGCAGAGGGTACCATAAAATCTGATGATCAAAAAAAGTCAAAGTGCCATATAATGCAGAGGGGGATTTCGGTTCCGACATGGTTTTGCTAAACCAATGGAGGGAAAAGCCAATGTAGAATCACCCCCAGATTTGTGCTAGGTATGCTACTCACTTGAGCCAAGCAGGTGTAGTGGTTAGAGTGCTGGGTTAGGATCTGGGAGAGCCAGGTTTGAATCCTCACTCTGTCATAGAAACTCACTAGGTAGCCTCGGCCCAAATCTTTCTCTTTGCCTAACCTACCTCTAGGGCTGCCAAGTGGGGGCGGGTGGTGGGTAACCCCCCGCTTCGGAGGCCGATTCCCGCCCCAGCAGAATCAGGCCCCAAGGGGAACTCCGCCCCTCGAAGCGCAGCATGGCTGCGTCACCAAAGGTGACACAACCACGTCGATCATGTTGGGGTGTGTGGCCCCGATCGTCGGAGGGAAAACTATGCAGGGCCTGCAAGACGGAGCTCTTCCGCCAGGCTTTCATATAGGGGCCGCCGCTGCCACCACCACCATCGGTGGCAATACCATCGGGATTCGGGATCGCCCTGGGAAGCTCAGCCATACATTGTGCGGCATTAACAACGTGGGATTGGAACGATCTACTGGACAGTGGTACCCCAACGGGGCTGACTGGAAGATGCTACCATAACACTCAAGACCATCTTGTCTACTGAAAGCACTTTATTATTGTTATTACTGTTATTATTGTTACTTATCATTTTACTGTTTTACTGGGTTTTATGTATGGGCTCTTGCCCCCTTCTAAGCCACCCTGAGCCCGCTTGCAGGGAGGGCGGGATAAAAATGCCTAAATAAATAAATAAATAAATAGTCACAGTCCTCCACACAGGCAAGACTAGAGATCAGAGAGCTTCCACGTGAGATGATCCGAATGCCAAGGCTCTAGCTGTTTATTTTGATTCTTCCGAGGACCTGTAGCGGTGTTTGTGGCTCTCCCCCTCTCCAAATTTTATCTGCAAAATGGATTTAAAATATTTGTTTCCTGCCCCCTGTCCTCCTGACTCAATGGAACAACAATCCTGTGAAGCTGGCTCAGCATGGTATAGTGGTTAGGAGCGCTGGACTCTAATCTGGAGAACTGGGTTCGATTCCGCACGCCTCCCCATGAAGCCAGCTGGGTGACCTTGGGCCAGTCCCCGCTCTCTCAGAGCTATTTCACCCTCCCCCCCAAATAAGTCAAGCTCGCCCCCTTGTTGCTGTTCAGTCGCACAGTCGAGTCCGACTCTTCGCGACCCCATGGACCAGATCACGCCAGGCCTTCCGGTCTTCCGCCGTCCTCTGAAGTTTGCTCAATTTCATGTTCGTTGCATCGATGACACTGTCTGGCCATCTCATCCTTTGCCGTCCCGTCTTCTTTGACCTTCAATCTCTCCCAGCATCAGGGTCTTCTCCAGTGAGTGCTTCCTTCTCATTTGCATGATGCTAATGAGCTAGAACTTGTGGCTGCCAGACAATCTTCGGACCTCCTGGCTGTATGACACACAATGCCATATGATAATATTTATTAATTAGCTTGGCTAAGAGAAAATGAATGTCGACGGCTGCGCCCTTCATGACTGAGTGGGCCGATTTGAACATGTCGCCACTCTAGAGAGTCAGTTTGGTGTAGTGGTTAGGAGAGCGGACTCTCATCTGGGAGAACCGGGTTTGATTCCCTACTCCTCCACAGGCAGCTGCTGGTGTGACCTTGGGTCAGTCACGAGTTCTCTCAGAGCTGTTCTCTCAAGGGCGGTTCTCGGGAGAGCTCTCTCAGCCCCACCTACCTCACAGGGTGTCTGTTGTGGGGAGGGGAAGGGAAAGGGATTGTAAGCTGCTCTGAGATGCCTTCAGGTAGTGACGGGTGGGGTAGAAATCCAATCTCTCCTCTTTTCTTCTTCTATGTATTTATTCATACACGGTACCTTTCTCCCTAATGGGGATCAAAAGCAACTCATATGGCTCATATGTCCTCCATTTTATCCTCACAACAACCCTGTAAGGTAGGGCACAGTAAGGATGTGTGTGCGACTGGCCCAGCAAGCTGCCATGGTAGAACAGAAATTCCAGTTTGGGTCTCCGAGACTCTAACCACTGCACCATGCTGCCTTTTGTAAGCCTTTTCCCCTCCAGGGTGAGGATTCACGCTGGTGGTCCCCAGGCGCTCTGCTATGCAAAAGGCAGAACCCCCGCCCCGTGGCGCCTCCAATTCGCAGGGCGTCCCAGCCTCCAACCCCGCCTGATCCCCTTCGAAGGTCACCCCTTTCAGGCCGTGTCCCAGTTTTCCTGCCACCGAACCCGCACCGGTTTACTGCGGAGAAGGTTCGCCTGGAACTCTCCCGCCACGCCTCCGCCAACGCGCGCGCGGGTGGCCGTCAGCACGCCCGCCCGTTCACACGTGCAACGCGAGTCCCGTGTCCGGAGCGGCCGGCGAGTTCTTCTTCTCAAACGTCGGACGCGCCCTTCGCCCTTGGGGAAAAAAAAGCTCGCTTTTTGTCTTCCCCGCGAGCATGGACAAGGGGGACACCCCCCCCCTGTCAAAGCCCTTTGATACAATCAAAGGTAAAGGTTCCCCTTGCTCGAAAGCCAGTCGAGTCCGACTCTAGGGTTGCGGTGCTCATCTCCGTTTCCAAGCCGAAGAGCCAGCGCTGTCCGAAGACGTTTCCGTGGTCATGTGGCCGGCATGCCTAAACACCGAGGCGCACGGAGCGCTGTTACAATCAAAGCAAGACGCAAACCCACCACGAACGCCCCCCCCCCTCCTGGGGGGGGGGGGACGGGGACGACGACGACAGGCGGCCGCGCCGCTCTTTCCAAAACGTCCCTCCTCCTCCTCCCCACTTCCCTACTGGACCGCCTGGAGCCCTCCTCCTCCTCCTCCTCTTCCTCCTCCGGAGGGGGGGGGCACACCCCCCCCAGCCCTTTATATGGAGCCCCCCTTCGTCGCCAACCTCTTTTCCACCCATTTCTCCTCGCCTGGAGTTTTTGGGGTCCTGCAATTCCCCTTTTTTCTTGCGCTTTACGGGGAGGTCGCCCGCTTCCCTCCAAGCCCGCGGCTCTGCTATTTGGAGAGGGGCTGCGCCGCTTTTGCGCCCCGGTCTTCGTCCTCTTTCTCCACCCCCGGGAAAGGGCCCCGATTCTCCCTCTGCCCCTCGGCCCGCCGCCTTCCGATCATCTGCCCCCCGCCCCACCCAAGGCGCGTCCAGCTGGAATGAATATATCTGAGCCCCGCTTCTGTAGAGAGGAGTTCTCCCAAGCGCCCGGCGACTTTTCATGGGGAGCCGCAGCGCCCGCAGCGCCCGCAGCCGCCGCCGCCGGACCGCCCGCCTCTGAGCCGGGGCTCGCCGCCTACCCGCCGCCCGCTAGCCGGAG